AAATGGCATTTTTCCAATTTTCCATTTTTCCCATTTTTCCAATTTTCCTTTTTTTCCATTTTCCAGTTTTCCAATTTTCCAGTTTTCCAAGAGCACTCACTTCCTCCAGCTCTGGCTGAAAACAATGCAAGAGGAGCAGCACTCAGCATTTCTGAGCATGAAGCGCTGAGTTCAGCTCAGCTCAGCCCCAGAGCCCGCTTAACCCTTTAGCTGAGGGATGGAGCAGAATTCCCAGTGCTGCAGCAACAGCTTTGGATTGCCCGGAGTTGAGAAAAGTGGGAAAGGTTTTGGAAGTGGGAGAAAATTTCTGAGTGAGGGCCATGAATGGGAAGAAGTCTCTTGCAGCCAGGCCAGTCTGGCTGCATTCAGGGACTGGCCACACCAGTTTGGCTGTGAAAGSTCTGAGATTTCCCTGTGTCCTCAGCCATGCATGAACCTTCCTTCCCCAGCTGCCAAAAAAATGGGAAAACGCTGTCCCAAGGCCACCAGGGGATGGAGCTCCATGGGGCAGGTTCTCCAGGTGGGCAGCCCGAGGGTTCCTGAATTCCTGGAGGGTGGAAATCCTYGGAGGGGGCAGGTGCTTATCGCTGCCCTGTGCCCGTTTGCGCAGGGTGACAGCAAAAGCAGAGCTCTGGAATGAGGAAATGTCCCCGAGGAATTGTCCCCGCTGAGCCCTGCGCTGTCCCTGCGCTCCCCCACGGGACTGGCCGGGATTTCAGAGGCGGGAGAAGGAAAGCTCCGCTCCACCTCACACCGAAATGGGTCCCCCCACCCACCCCAGAGGATCAAACCCACGAACCAAGAGTTTCTTTGGCCTCAAACAGAACCTTTCATCTTTTCTGTTTGCTTTTTTCCTCCGGTGAAGCCGCGTCTGGGCTGATTTCCTTCGCTTTCAGGTTCGGTTTGAAATAATAATCTGAAAAGCCACGAGGCTTCGTTTTTGAACCTGCCAAGGAATGGCCGACTTCAGAAGGAACCAGAAATATCGGGAAAGCTTGAGATTAACTATTTAATTGTTTCCAAGAGGAAAAAAAAATCCCCCGTGTTTCCCTCTGCTGCGGACTTTAGCCSGGATACACAAATTTTGCTGGGTCCACAGATCTCTTGTTCTGCGCGCCCGTATTTGCATTTCGGCGGGGAAGAAGGGGGGTTCGGAGCTGGAATTCCCGCAGGGAATGCCTCTCCCGGGATTTTGGTGTCGCGCAGTGAGGACGGAGGGTCCCAGAGCGCCGAGGAGGCGGCGAGCAGGACACAGGTRAGGCGGGGAAAAGCTGCTCCGGCTCGGAACGGGAGAGCCCCGAGGATGGGCTGGGCTGGTCCCACCGTGCCCGTGGGCTGGAATTGTTTCCTGCGGGGCAGGGCGAAGGTGGCGCTTCCCTCCTGGAGCCGGCGGTCTCCTGTTTACAGCGCGGCCCCGGGTAACTCATTGACCTCTGCTGCGAAGCGGAGGTTCCCAGGATGATAAGGAGCTCTTGGAAGGAATTCCTCCCCTCGTGGAGGGAGTGGCGGTGCCGGGCACGCTCGCCCGCCCGCCCCGCAAACACGTCCGCAGCCGCGGSTGCTCCATCCCGGCGGAGCACCGTTCCCTCGGGGTTTGGAGAGGCTGGAATTTCATCCAGGAGTTCTCCGGGAGCTGGGAGCAGGTCAGTGCGGCCGCCGTGTGTCCCCCGGGGCTGTCCCCAGCCTGTGCCCTTCGTCCCCAGCTGAACAAACACGGCGGGGACACGCTGGTGGCAGGTGACTGCGGCGACACAGCGCCTCTGGAATTCCCGGCTGGCTGGATTGGAGACTCCGGGGTGACAGGGACCAGCACAGTGGGGAAGGACAGGTTTGGTTTGGGTCCTTTGGGAACCGACWGGAGAAATGGGAGCTGGGTTTGGTGCCAGGGCGGGGTGGGGCTGTGTGACAGCCCCGGGGAGCTGCAGGGGTTGTGGCAGCTCTGTCCCCAAGCCCAGGGGTGCCCGGACAGCCTCTCTCACCCCATTCCGTGCCCGGGGAAGGGAAATGTGGCCGGCACTGGGATTGCAAAGGGAACAGGGACCCTGGAGAGCTGGCACAGGCAGAGACCCCCTAGAGAACAGGCTGAGATCCCGRGAAATATTCCAGATTTATCAAAACCGGGCTTTTCCAGGGAGCTGCCAGCAATGAGGACTCTCCAGGAGAGATCCAGGATTTGCTGGGGAGCAGATAGGTAGGAAGTGCAACGAGAGGTTTTCAGCTTGCCGGCCAAAAGGCAAATTCCAGTTCAGGTCGAACACCTTTGCTTGTACAGGGATGGGTTTGGTTGCTAAGCTATTAAGGCAGACTTAAAAACAAAAAAAATATTTCGCAACCACAAAGGAAGACATTTGTGTTTACAAAATTAAAAAAAAACAAAAACAATTCTGTTGATTTTTTTAAAAAAGGACATCTTCCCCTGTGTGATGCTAATTGGTGAGCAGGAGCTGCTCAAACCAACAGCCCTCGGGAAAAGCAAAAAGCTTTGTTTGCAAACAGTGCCCTGCTCGAGCTCTGACAGCTGGGACAGCACGGGACCAAAGCAGCAACACCTTTTGTGTAAAGATGTGCCTGAATCCATCACAAARTCCCATCTGTGTGCTCTGAGCACGGGCAGGCTGAGCTCCCCTCGGGATCCTGCACCTTCAGAGCACCCCTGGGTCAGCTGGGGGACTTTTCTGAATGTGGAGCTTTCCGGGGTCAGTGATCAATGGGGACAGGCAGGAGCTTTGCCAGCACTCACCTTCCTGCACCCCWCAGCTCTGAATGCAAAATCCCAGCCAGGAGAACCCCCTGGCACCTGGGGCTCAGCAGGAGGATGGAGAGGGTGCTCCCTTCTCCAGGTAATCCCAACATTTGGAGATCTGGAAGAGGAATCCCCACTCCTTCAGTTGGGAGAAATTCCCTCTCTGGATCATGGAATCACAGAGACCACCAGGTTTGGGTTTAAAGGGTCCTCAAATTTTACCTGTTTATTGGCAGAGACACCTCCCACCCCACCAGTGTGCTCAGACCCATCCATCCTGGCCTCAATTACTTCCTGAATTAATTGCTCCTCACTCTGGAGAAGTTCAAGGCGCTGCAGGGATGCAGATTGATGTCTGGGAGAGCCAGCAATGCTCCTGGAGCAGCCCCAGCACACAAAGCCCYGAGTGGTGGCACTGGCCGGTTGCTGGAGGAAAAATCCATCCCTAAAAGGCCTCCCTACCTGAAAGTTCTCTTCCTAAATGTTTTGGGTTTTGTTTTGCAGGGGATGCATTGCTGTTGTCCGGAGATGCCCTGCAGAGCACCCACAG